GATTAAAATCATCACAAAACCTCATATTATTGATTTGATAATGAGCAGAGGATGCACTTCAGTTCAAGGTAGTTTTTCTCTGAATACCTTTGGACATGACAAACTGGGAAAATTCATTTTCCTACTTGTTATTTTTGAGCTTTTTGTGGTATCACTAATTATACCTTTATCAATTACAGAGGCACAAACAAAAGCAAAAACCCTGGAATTGACAAAGGCCAAAGTACAGTCTATTGCATTCAATGTGACATACTTGGCACTTCAAAACAAACATTTTCTAGTCTGCTTTATCCAAAATCAAAATATTGTTCTTGTATTATAACCAAAGAATACTAAAGATAAAAAGGAGGCTGTAGTAACAACAACAACAACAACAACAAAACACTTGTCCCTTTAACTTGAAACATAAATTAGATATACAAGGGGCGTTCATTAAATATTTCCCCTGACCCACTTCCAGTTATCGTAGGAGGATGAAACTGCACATGTATAATGATACATCTCTCCATAGGTAACGTAGTAATTTGTAGCTCTGCACTCCTAACAGTTTCTCTATTACGGGTGCTAACATAGAGTAACGTCTGATAATGGAACCAGTTGAATGCAGAGCTGCCATCAGGTTCTTGTACTTGTACTTGTGCCCACCACAAGAGATGTTCGATGAGATGAAAGGGACTTATGGGGAGGATGCCCCATCGTATGACATAGAAAAGGGCTGGTATCGTCAGTTCAGGTGTGGTTGAACTTTGGTGGAATGGCTCCCATTCCTGGGCGACCACACCCCTCCATTGATGAAGACACCATTCGGAAAGTGGAGGCTGCCATTTTGGAGGATCGCCTCATAACCATTCGCTAACTAGCCGCAGATGTCAAGATCAGTGTGGGCTCTGTAGAAAAAATAATCTATGACCATTTGCACATGGGAAAGGTGTCCGCATGGTGGGTTCCCCGGCTGCTGACGCCTTTGCAGAAGCAGGAACGAGTCACATGCTCACGGGCTCTTTTGGCCATGTGTCACAAAAATCATGAAGACTTCTTCGCCAGACTAATTACTCAGGACGAAACATGGATCCATCATTATGACCCAGAGACTCAATCCCAGTCCAAACAATGGAAGCACTCTGCCTCACCACCTCCAAAGTAGACACATGTCCAACTGTCAGCGGGCAAGGTCATGCTCACGGTCTTTTGGGACCAGCGTGGAGTAGTGATGATGGATATCCTGGCAAAGGGTACCACAAGGGTACTGGGACATACTACAGAAATTGCGGAAGGCCATCAAAATCGAGAGGCATGGTATGCTAACCAAAGGTGTCCTTCTCCTGCAGGGTAATGCCCTGGTTCACAACTCGAAGTCCTGTGACTATGAAATCCTTCCTCACCCCCCTTATTCTCCAGACCGCGCACCATCAGACTTCCACTTCTTTCCAACCATTAAGTTATTTTTGAAGGGCAAGCTTTTTCCAAACGATGAATGCTGATTTCTGAGGTCAAGTCGTGGTTTCTGACACAAAATGCTGACTACTACAGACAAGGTCTCCACAGCTGCATAAAGTGATGGGAGCAGTGTTTGACTCTTGCTGGTAGCTATGTAGAGCAGGACTAATAACTGTGCCCAATTTGTCTCAGTCCATGGGAAGTATGTCAGGGGAAATCTTTAATGAATGCTCCTCGTAATATGCACACCATGCCATTAATTAAAACATTTTAACACTAAAAAAAATAAAAAATATGAGCTCCACAATAATAGCGGGGAGCCTTTCATAACTTGATATCTCTTGAAGGTCGATCAAATGAAATTCTCAGCAACAAGAATATACCTTACAAAATACTCTTCCAAAATCAGTTTGGTAAGCTAAAAATCTCAAGCTAAACAAGAAACAGTGAATTTGTAAATACCAATTTAGTACATATGCAAACTTTATAAGGTAGCAACTTAGAATTAAATAGCAAAAATCCTCAGCTAACAAAAACCTGAGTTGCCCCAAGCAGCCAACCAAGAACACAACCAAGCCAGGAAATTTGTAGATTTGTATTATTCAATAATTGCTTCAACATCTGTGCAGCTGAAAGGAAGGATACTAATACTGAACTAATAGAAGAACAATCCATTATTACTCATGCCAGATGGAGACTGCAATCTAGTAGATACTATGGGTCATTCTTGGTGTGATCAGATCCATAGAGACATAGTAACCAATACTTCTCTATAACCTTATAATGCCCTTCCATGACAGCAGAAATACAGAGCAGTGAAAATCTTCTTAAAACTAATCCCATTTATCCACTCAAGATATTCTTCAAATGTATGCTCTGCCTTCAAGAAAGGATATCAAGGAAACATCTTGCAGTTGTAAATTGCTGCCAGGTCAGATTCCCTAGCAAAGATTTCTATTTGAAACGTGATTTGGGATATAACAATCTAGATAGCCTCCTGCTGAGTTCTGAGATAGGAAAAGCCAAACAAAACCAAGAAAATAATAAGGAAAAAAAGAAAAGAAAATATTTCCATAATGTCATTTTTGCCCTAATACATTTATCTGGTTTCCTTGTTTCTGGCTAATTAGGGCAGTAATCATAGAACTTGTTTCCATGTCTGTCTGCACTGGGGGGGGTGTGAAATTATTTTTGCACACACACACACACACTGCAAATGCTTTGTCAGAATTGGTCATATATGTGGATTTTCAAGAAAGAGCCAATGAAACAGATATTGTGATTCCAGCCAGGTGCTTTCATAGCACTTCCAAAACATTTCATTAGAATATCTCTTTATCACTATTTTCTGTAGTGACCTTTCTGTGGGTGTCTGCTATAGAACTCCAGGACAAAATGAGGACATGGATGGTGCCTTCCTAGAGGAGATTACCAAACATTCAAAAAGGAGATAGTCATGGGAGACTTCCAGCTACCCCAATATCTGTTGGAACAAGTGTTAGAAACTGAAATATGAAAGCTAAGAGCTAAATGGCACCTTAAACCTAGATTATAGGTGCAAAAATCGAATGTCTAGGCACACTTTTTATAACAAGAATACAAAGCTGAAAACAAATGAACTGCAGCTACAATCTTATATTTATTTTTCACATGGTCTAGTCCTCATCTGAAAACTGTAAAAAAAAAACCAAATCCATGCTTCCGCTGCCTACCTCCCTAATATTCTTAAGAGGGTCTCTTCTCCAGTCTTCAGAGAGTGGCTGAAAGTGGGGAGGCAGAAAAAGGTCCTCCTTTCCTTCCACTCTGCAGTTTTCAGTGGAAATCTTAGGCGCAGTACTGCACCCAGAGCTCAGAAACTGCTTGCGCTAATGAAATTCCTTGTCACAAAATGCATCTAGAATGGGAGTTTCGAAGGCTGGTTGGGACTCAAATTCTGCAAGAACATAAGGTCCAACAAATTCCTATTGCCTCACTGCCAATTTCATTTGCCAGAAGATGGAAGAAGCAACAACGGGATCACCTCTCTTAGACCTGGTCCTCCCCAACAAGGAGGAACTGATCAACCAAGTGGAAGTACTGGAGAACCTTGGAAGGAAGTGATTGTGTTCTCTTGGGTTTCACTTTATACAGGAAAAGGAAAGCTGAGTATAGTCTGACATGCACTCTGGACTTTAAGAAGGGTGATTCAAAAAGCTTAAGAAACTAACGGAAGAAGTCCCATGGTCAGAAATTATCAAAGAGAAGGGAGTCCAAGATGGATGGGAGCTTCTTAAAGGTGAAATATTGAAGTTGCAAAGGCAGGGAATTCTAACAAGAAAGAAAAATGGGAGACGTCTAAAGAAACCAGTGTGGCTACATAAGGAGCTTACAGGTAAGCAGAGATGTAAGAAGGGAATGTATTAGAAATGGAAGAAAGGAGAAATCACAAAAGAAGAGTATGCACAACTAGCCAACAGTTGCAGGGAGAATGTCAGGCAGGCCAAAGCTCAGGTTTGCAAAAGAGGTTAAAAATAAATTGAAAAGGTTTATTTGGCAATGTTTAAAGCAAGAGGAAGAACAAGTGGTATTCCCCTTGTATGGCAAATGCTGAGAAATGCTACTGAGTGACAGCGGGAAGGTGGAACTGCTCAATGCCTACTTTGTCCCTGTCTTCGTCCAAAAGGAAAACAGCGTCCAACCTGGTGATAACAGAATAAACAATGCAAGCAAGGAGCTGCACCTCAAGATACGAAAAGAGGTGGTAAGGAAACAACTAGCTCCTTTAAATGAATTCAAATCTCCAGGGCCTGATGCACCCAAGCATGCTAAAGGAGTTTGCAGATGAAATCTCAGGGCATCTGTCTATAAACTTTGAGAATTATTCGAAAACTGGTGAGATCCCCGAGGACTGCAGGCAGGCAAATGTTTTCCCCATCTTCAAAAAGAGGAAAAAAGAAGACCCAGTTAACTACTGACCAATGAGCTTGAAATTAATGCCAGAAAACACTTGGTCTGTGAGCACTTAGAAATGGATGCTGTGGTTACTAAGATGTAGTGTGGGTTTTTCAAAAAATAAGTCATGCCAGACGAATCTCTCTCTCTCTCTCTCTCTCTCTCATTTTGCTAGTTTGGGCCAAGTTTTCCAATCTGTTAAGGTCATCTTGAATTCAGATTCTGTATTCTGCTGCTTTGGCTTCCCTTCCCAGTTTGGGGTCATCTACAAATTTGATGAGCATCTCCTCAATAACTTCATCCAAGTCATTGGCTAAAGATGTTGAACAACAATGGGCCTAGGACAGAATCCTGTGCCCATTCGTCACTTTTTCCCAGATGACAAGGAGCCATTAGTGAGCACTCATTCAGTCAGACAACCAGCTATAAATCCACCTAACAGACATCTCGTCCAACCCACATGTTACCCAGCTTCTCTGCAAGAATATCATGGGGGATTCTGTCAAAAGCTTTACTGAAATCAAGATATACTATGTCCATAGCATTCCCCTAACCCACCAAGGTAATGTTCATGAAAGCTTTGAAATATTTCCCTTGTTTAGCACATTAAAGTTCCACTTAAGTTAACTCACTTTTGTAGTGGCTGGTTCCACTAGTCTCTGGCGATGTCTTGTTGAGCTGAAATGGCTCTTCTGAGGTGTCCCTTCCTGACAGTGAATAAAAGGTGGCAAAGGGAGGGAGGGACAAAAAGGGGAAAGATGGATCATGGGAAGGGATGGAATGGAATGGAAAATGACCAGGGAAGGGAGAAGGAGACTATTTAACTAAAGTGTACTTTCACTCTGTTTCTAAAAAATCAATAAACAATTGCAACATTAATGTAAAGATAGAGAGAGTCAGTAATAACACAATGTGATAACTTTGGATGGATCACATCCATAGTAAAGTGATAGTTCTATTAGTTTCATTGGGAGACATTTAAGCACTTGCTTAACTCACTGAATTCAACAGATTTTCTCAGTGCTCAATGTTGGATTATATCCTATATGTCTAATAAATGCAGTTGTTTTAAAAATGCACCTGCTGTCCATATTAATTTTATTATAGGTAGCCCTGAACCAAATCTTTATTATACCCTTGGCATTAACAACTACTGTCAAAAGCACAAGATAAAAATAATGTACTAAGAATTTAATATATAAAAATTACATTTTTAATATCAAAAATAACTTTTAACATCTTCATCATTCAAAACAACTGCTTTTAATTATTAAATTAGTTATTTCCTAAACAATACACCTTTTAAATATGTTAAATTAATGGGTTAAACCCATTTGCACTTCCTTACACACTTGTGCTGTTGGTAAGTAAATTTTGTTTATAAGAGAAACCATGGCACCTTGTAATGATTAGAAAATTGGGGTGCTAGAAAGTTCTTTTTTATATCAAGTGACATTTTAAATGTGAAGTTTAAGGCTGCAATGGTCTAGGGCAGAGATGGGGAACCTGCAGTCCTCCAGATTTGGGGGAGACTACAACTCCCTACAGCCTTGATCATTGGCCATATTGGTTGAACCTGATGGAACATGGAGTTCAATAGAATCAGGAAGGCCGCAGGTTTCCATCTCTGAGCTAAATTGGTATCATCCTGCTTGGTATCTCCATAATATTCTAGCTATGGTATACATGCAAAATGCTCTATCTCCACCTTCACACATCAACCCACTCATGACATCCAAGAGATTTTAAAAATCAGCATGATGTGGATATGGAAATGATAAGAAAGCAAGTTAAAACTACTGTAATATCACATCAGCACTTTAAATGCATGCAGATAGGGTCTCATACATACAGGATTCACAGGGAATCAGGGAATCATGATCAATCAAGTACTTAGCACATGAGATTTAAGGTATCTTAATTCCTACTTTGTATCTTTCATTTAACTTCTTAAAATAAACCTAGCATTCAGAGCGTAACACAGAGCATGTGTTTTAAAACACATATGCACAATATATCTTGTGTGTCCTCATTATATCACAGTAGTTCTGTATTTATTTATTTATTCATTCATTCATTCATTCATTCATTCCAGTTTATTAAAATGGGGGCCTGCCTTCCATCCCTTCCAAGGCTGTTTCCCAAGCAGTCTCAAACTGTGTCTGCACCCTTCTGGTCTCTGTTCTGCCCTCTTCTTTATTCTGGGCATTCTTAGGGTAGGAGAGCTTGCCACAACAGGAGAGGGAGATCCCCTGGATTCTTCAGCAGCCTCTTGACCCTGCTTCCTCTGCTTCAGCCTTGAGTCTGAACTGCTCCTTGTCACAGGCCCTTTCTGGTCAGTAAACCCTGTTGCCCCTTCAGCATTCAGCTCCTCCTCCCAATCTTCTCCCTCTGACCTCTCCTACATGTCCTACCACCAATCCCCTGGCTCTGAGCCTTCCTCCTCTGGGGTTGCCCGGCTGGTGCTTCCCATCACTCTTCTTCATCCAGCCAGTCCCTGATCTGACACAGCTCTGAACACCTGGGTTCTCAGTATAACACTTAACCAGACTAGAGGCATTATCAAAATTCATAGGAGTACATACTACACTTGGGAGCTGGCTTGGAGGGCCGGATTCTGGCATGAGGTCCTGAAAACAGGTTGACAATACGCTTGGTATACTGGCCAACCTGCTACCCAATGGCCTCCATCACTGAGCTGGCTGAGTTGTCTCCAGTGTGGTGTTGAAGGAGTCCAGGCCTGTGATCCGAGACAACTTCAACAGCCCAGCCAAGGATCAACATAAAGTTATGTAGCAGTGTCTAGCATCTTGCCAATGTTATCTGTCCACTTACTGTTAGACAAGGTCTTCCCATAAAGTGTTGTGATCAAGTGTCATAGGGGTTGATTGATGTGGAAGACACAAACCAACCAAATCAGCTTACGACCAATCTTGACCTCTACCCAATGCATGATACCACCATTCCAGCCAGTGTCAACATTTGTAGAATCAACTCCAGTGGCCTACAGCCTCTTACCAATGCCCTTATTCATGAGATCTACAAGATTATAAACAATAACGTCAATTAGTTTTTCTCTCTTTGGGCCTTTCTCCAGAGTGCAGAGGTGGAGATATCTTTCACCTGGCTCACTGCACACAGAATAATGCTGTTCTCTGGTGATGCTGGGGAAACTGCTGATCCGCATTGCCTGTTTTCAGAATAACTTTAGTTGTATTTTCATGGCCGTCAAAAAAGATGAAGTCCTGTTCACCCTTCTGGCAAAGATTGTAAAATTCCTGATCCAGGGATTTCATAACGTTTTCTTGGGCCCTCTTGACTTTATTATGATCAACTATAAGCCTCTTGTCCTCTTCAGTGATCAAACCAGCATCCATAAAGGTGGCAGCAGTGATGGCAGCTGTAGCACACAGGCCAACACCGTGTCTGATGCTCTGCAGAACAACATTATGTATTTCTAATGTGATGTAATCTGTCTTTTTATTAGAATTGGAAGGTGTACTTGGTTTTCCTAATGTCAATTCTGAACTTCCCATATTTCCATCTTGGGCATCAGCCATTTTTTATTCATTTTCATCAGCAGAGAAAATATTTCATTTGATGATATTGAAGCATCCTGCTTACTGTTCTGCTTATATTGAGTGAGACTTCTTCTTTCGCCTTCTTGCCACCTCCTCTTTTTGACTTGTCTGTTATGCTCAGGCAGATCTGGCAAGCCAATCAGATGTGGTCCAGTAGAACCAGTCCTCTCTCTCTCTGACTTTTAATGAAAACAATTTCCTTCACAGGGATCTTCACCTCAATAAGGTATATACAGTTAATGTGAGCTTCCTTTTTGCAACTTTTTGCATACATATAAAATATGTATAATATAAAAATAATAAGAAAAATATTGATATATAACATTAACTGCAAGAACTTGGCATCATTTTTAATTATTTTATGCAATTTTACACACATTCTCCACAATTTTTTTTTTAATAAGACCAGTTTGAAGTTACTGGCACTTCCACAAAAACATAAAAATGTCAATATTTTTATGTAGTTATTTACCCTGCAAAACTAACCAAAATATGTTCTGAATTCCCAAGTCATGTTACAACTTTTTAGCACCCCTCATTTTGGAATTTGAAAAGTGGAAAAATTCAACACACCCTATGTTATATATAATTATCAAGTTACTGATAAACATACAGTCTCTTCACCATCAAAAGTTTACAGAAAAATGTTTTCTATGCAGTAATTCATTTGATGCGTTAACAAAGCTGTCTGGAGAGATAATAGCTCAAAAGAAATTATCCTTCAATAAGTGCATTTCCCAAAGGTCATTTTATTACTAAGACAGATAATTGGCACTGCCACAATCTGACAAACTATAGTTCTATGCTGTGGGAAGTGGCATGAACATGACATATCATATGAGTAGAAACTTTCCTTTTTATGCAAGAAACAAGTGTTTATATCAATGTTAAAATGTATCTGAAAATTTGGTGGTCAAATATCTCAGATTAGGTCATAATCTTAATGAAAATAAATAGTATTGTTAAGAAAAAATATCAAAGGAGGCAGAAGGACAATTATTCTTAGAAACATATTCATGCAATTAGATGAGAGATATACTTTTACCATATTGTCAAACCATAATAAAGTAATAGTCTTGTCTGGAAGGTAGGAACAGAAGCAATTACTTTTAAATTTGTCCAATTCAATTTGAGAACCTGCCACGCACAATTTAGGTAACTTCTATTAAAAATAATAAGAATGAATATTGGTCCATATCCAAATACAGAAAACATCAAATACAGTGGTGCCCCGCAAGACGAAATTAATTCGTTCCGCAATTTTTGTCGTCTAGCGAATTTTTCGTCTTGCGAAGCACGGTTTCCCATAGGAATGCATTGAAAATCAATTAATGCGTTCCTAGGGAAACCGCTTGCCAGGCTGGCGGTGCGGAGAAGGGCTTTTCTCCCCACCGCAAGCCTTCAGCACAGGTACGGGAACAGAGGGGAAGGCGCGCAGCGCTTTCCCTCTGTTCCTGGGGCTTGCGTGGGAGGAGGGTTTTTCCTCCCCACCGCCAACATTCAGAACAGCATTCTGAATGTTGGCGGTGGGAAGGAAAACCCTTCTCCCACCCCAAGTCTTCAGGACAGCCATCCGAAGGCTGGCGCGGGGAGAAGGTCTCTCCGCCCCCCCCCCACGCCAGGCTTCGGTGCATCCTTCAGAGGCTGCTGCCATAGTCACGCGTCACTTCTCCAGCTGGGAGAGGGTCGCGGGGCTATGGTTTCTTTAGCCCCGCGCGCGCTCTCCCGGCTGGAGAGGTGACGGGCGCCTATGGAGGTTCCTGCCATATGCGCGCGTCACAACTCCAGCTGGGAGAGGGTCGCGGGGGGCTGGTTTAGCCCCGCGCGCGCTCTCCTGGCTGGAGAGGTGACGGGCGCCTATGGAGGCTCCTGCCATAGGCGCGCGTCACTTCTCCAGCTGGGAGAGGGTCGCGGGGGGCTGGTTTAGCCTCGCGCGCGCTCTCCCGGCTGGAGAGGTGACGGGCGCCTATGGAGGCTCCTGCCATAGGCGCGCGTCACTTCTCCAGCTGGGAGAGGGTCGCGGGGGGCTGGTTTAGCCCCGCGCGCGCTCTCCCGGCTGGAGAGGTGACGGGCGCCTATGGAGGCTCCTGCCATAGGCGCGCGTCACTTCTCCAGCTGGGAGAGGG